TCCTCAGTGCCACCAGAGACCTATCCAGGTGTCTCTGGTGAACAGGAGACCTATCCAGGTGTCTCTGGTGAACTGGAGACCTGTCCAGGTGTCTCTGGTGAACTGGAGACCTGTCCGGGTGTCTCTGGTGAACTGGAGACCTGTCCGGGTGTCTCTGGTGAACTGGAGACCTGTCCGGGTGTCTCTGGTGAACTGGAGACCTGTCCAGGTGTCCCCTGCCTTCACCCAAAGGCAGCGAAGACAGGTTCCAGCCTGACCCTGATTAGGAACAAGGAGGCCAGGAGGAGGATTTTTCTTTATAGCAGGAAACAGACATTTAATTATAAAACATGATTTATTTAATGTTAATCTGAATCAGTTTAGTGTTTTATGTAAATATATTTGACAGTTTTGTAGGAATGAACACGTTTGTAATGTTTGTTCAAAATAAACCTGCTTCTTATGACTTCTGTWACATGTTTTGAATAAAATATTATCAGTAAAAACCTCCAATCATGTCCTTTCTAATAATTATTAGAACTAGAAGAACTGTAACCCAGCAGAGTTTCTCCAAAGATTTTTTTAACCGTGGTGCTGACCTCTCATGTGGGAGTTTGACAAAATCTGGTTGTCCTCAAAACATTTTGGTTGTCCAAAAAATATCTCAATAAAAATATAATTTAATAAGTAGGTTATATTGTTCTGTATACAAAGTGAAATATATACAAATGTTCTCAGCCAGCAGGTTGACAGTTTTAGGGGCTGCTTGAGAACTTCTTCGTTCTCCTCCTCATCCTCTTCTTTGAAATAGAGATTAAAAACCAACATCCATCAGCTTTCTGCTTACAGGCCAAACATTTTTATTTAAATAGGAGTAAACTGTGTACTTATTACAAGTTACAGTTTAGTGTTCTTAGGACTGAAGACTTTCTGAGGAAAGAAGTTTTTAAACATCTTTTCTATAATTTTAGTGTTTTCAACTTTCAGCTTTGATATATTTATTTAAAATAAATTATAGCAGAGGAAGTTCTCTGTACAGAAAAACAAATATTTTTACTGTTTTTTTTTTACCAAACTGAATAGTTTCTCCAGTAAAATTATTGTGTAATTTAAAGGCAGTGAAATACCTGGTTAAATTTAGAAGATATTATGATTAACTAAAAACATCTGAAGCTGACTCAGAGAACTCTGTGATTTTAGAAAAAATTAAAGTCAAATGTAGACACCTCTTTAAAAGACCCTTCTCCCCCCACCACCCTGCGCAGCTGCGGTCAGCGAACCTCCATGCCACCCGCGTGTGATTAATACAGATTTTTTGCGCAAATTACAAAATTTTGATGCTCATTAAACACGTAAACGTCTGAAGGGKTTGACATGTATGAACTCCTGGGCTGGTCGGAGCCGAGCTGCAGACTGACAGCTTCAGCTGTTGTAAAGTCGCTGCACCTCGCTTTAAAAACAGTCAGCTGATCCGTCGCGGTTTTGTTGCGCTCGTGACATGAACACACAGGGGAAACGCTGCGAAGTGCTTTTAGAAATACTGTATAAGAAATATAAAATACGACGTAATCCTCGGTGGAAAATAGTCAAGGAGACGTGTGCGTTCCCGGGAGGTGTTCACCTGCAGCTGAGTGAAGCTAAACCCCCACCCACAGAGAAAGAAAAAAAGGCAGTAATTATTGATAAGGTAGTAAGCATGCTGTGCCTTCAGCTGTCACATTTTCTTTTAAAGAAAGAAAAAGTAGCTTGCAAAGCTGTCGCATCGGTGCTACGTGATTAAAAGCAGAGCTGAGCGTCTAATCTCACACACATCTTCCTATCTTTGTGAGGACCACACACAGCGTTCAGCCTTGCTTTGCGTCGTCTTTAACCCCCAAGTTTGGCGAGAGGTGGATATGGAGGGACACAAAAAAAAAATAGCTCTCGACTTGATCTGGCCTTATTTAAATAAAAATGATTACATGCCGTGAAATTCTTAGAGGGGCGGGCCGTCTTGTTGGCGGGGGGCCGCCCCACCTGTATAATGGTAGGGGAACACTGAGGTTAAACCAGTTAGCTGCTAACATTAGCATTTAACGTATTATAATATCAGAACAAACATATCGCTGGTGGTACTGTAACCATCGCTAACTTTGTTGTGTAGTACTACAGCAGCTCTATATGCTTTTTATTTTTTAATAGCGTTATTAAAAATAAAAAGAATGAAGCAGAGATACTAACTTGACAAGCAGAAATGCTAACTCTGCATCCGTGAGCTCCCTCCTCCTCTTCCTCCTGTGAAATCCACCTCGTTTTTTTCCGGGCTCGATCTAATTCTTTCTTTTCAACTTGGATTTCCTCCTGGGTCTTCTTCTGTTGCCTTGTGTTGGGTTTCAGAACAGGCGCCAATCCAGGTTGTAGGGTGTAGGTTATTAGAGGGGTCAGCTTCACTCAGCTAGCTTTACTGTTTGAACGAGAGCGCGCTAGCTCGGCTGCGCTGCATGCATGCTGCGCGGGCAGGGACGGGGTGGGCAAGAACAGCTCTTGCATGAGACAAACCTCACTTTTGATTGGCTGTTTGGTCTCCGGGTCTGAGATTTTAACAGAGGGCAGRAGGACCACCGGGAGGAGCCAGAGGAGTTTTTTTTTTTTAAACTTTTTTTCAAGAGATTATCTGTCTAATATCAATCAGTCAGGACATAGTGACAGTTTTAAAAAAATATGTCAAAAATATATACTGTATTTTAAAAAGTTACAGATAACAGCTTTAACTTACAAATAGAGTTTGTCACTAGTTATAAATAGCTTGGTTTTATTTTAGATAAAGAGCTTTCTTTTAAAAAGCACATAGCAAACTTGTTACAAACCCTGAGAATGAAGATTGGGTTTTATTATCGTAATGGATCCTGTTTTTCTCTTAAAGCTAGAAGAAAATTGGTATCAGCAACCTTCTTACTACTCCTAGATTATGGAGACATTTCATTTGTGAATGCTTCAACCAAAGGCCTTTAGTCCCTGAATACCGTTTATCATTGTGCGTTGATGTTTGTAACAGGCTGCAGACATCTTACACATCATTGTGAGTTGTATGCAAAAGCAGAATGGCCTCCATGTGTGCAGAGATACAGCCACTTGATGCTACTGATTTATAAAACTCTACTTGGCTTGGCTCCAACTTATTTAAACTCCATCTTAAAACATGCTTATTCCTTACACTCTAACAATATCTTTATTTTGCATGTTCCACGTGTTCGAACAGAAAAAGGGAAGCAAGAATTCAGTGTTATGCCTCCTATAGCATGGAATCAGCTCCAGTCTGAACTCAAGATGTCAGATTTTATTTYGTTAGAATTATTTCAAGGGGTTCTGAAAAACAAGCAATGTGATTCTATTCATCATTGTCATTGCTTTTAAACTGTTTTGCAATGTGTTTTTAACTTGTGTAWTTTAATTTGTTTTATTTTTGAGGAACCAGGTTGTGTTATGGAGTTGGTGACGAAAATTCAACTCTGGAAGACTAATTGACCTCACCTGCTCCATCCTGCCACTGCGTCACAAGCGCAATTTCATCCAATGAGCGTCTGACAGTCAGTAGAAAAAAGCATCCTCTGAAAACACTTTGGCCGCTTGCCAGCAGAACGGCAACCTTCCACCTCCCCTCCTCCAACCTTCATCTTCTGGCTTCCAAAGACTTCTATCACCTTTGACCTCCACCACCCGTGTCTGGCCCCGGGTGGAAGAAAATACTCCTACCCCAAATCTCAAGCAGCTCATCGGAGCTTACATCATCTCACACCGCTCACATCTTCTGCTGGGGTCTGAACGCCAAACTCTGTCATTCATGTCAATAAATTTACTTGCTAATTTCAGTCTATCTTTGTGTGAGTCTCTCCAGGTTGAAATAAAGTTAAAGGTTCCTGACGAACCCCATTCTCAAAACCCAATATTGTTATGTTGTACATGATTTAATTTGACTTGTAGCTTCAGTCACAAATGAGTTTGTCACAGTAATCTATCTTAACTC